ACGCACTGGCCGCATGCAATTTCTTTTCGGTCCGCGGTCGCCGTCGCGGTTGCAGCCACAGAGTCTAGACACATGGCGCACCAGAGGTGACAGTTGATTGTCATTGTTGGCATATTAAAACAGGCTCACCGTCTGCACGCGCCGCCAACGATGGGCTGGGTTTTCTAGGCCCACTTTGCTGACCAGGCCCAGACCCAGCTACCACTCGACCCAGCCAAGACGACGGCTAAACGGCGACAGCCACCGTCCGAGCTGACAATTGACACTCTTGGCCGAGTCCCCCGAACCCGTCGGGGCTCCCTTTAGCTTTTTTCTGCAGTTACTCGTACCACAAACTTCAGTCGCCAATTTCGTATGCAATGTGTGCCTTTAGGGCCTTGTACTGGTAATACTCCCAGGTAAAAGGTTCACACAGCGTAGATCTAGGATCTGCGACACAATCTGGGCCTTGTGTGGGGCAAGGATACAAAAAAACAAAACAAAAGCCACCAGAGTCAAGTCCACGCAATAAACAAAACAAACAAAGGGGGAAACAAGTTATTGAACAGGGGCAGGGCCATTGGCCAATAAATAGGGTTGAACTGAAAAGAAACAGGGATTTCAGAAAGGAGATTTATAAATTTGTTAGACTACTATTCTATTGTAAAGAGTTAAAAATTACCACATTTTATTTGTATAAACAGAGCTTTATTTAGTTAATTAGAACTTCCTGCAGTAAACATCATATAAATATAAATAATTAAAAGTTAAATTCAAACAAAATAAATACTTGGCCTCCTTGCGTTATAATTAATAAACCCCTTTCTCTACAAATAAAATAAATAATAAATGTTAATAACGGCAATTAGAACAACATTCGAACAGCCTAATAAAAGTAGTTTGAAACCACCTGTGGCCCCCTTTGATCTAGAGACGCCTCTGCCCGCCGCAGCTTCACGATCCAAGCCAGCCAGGCCATGGCCAATGCCCGTTGGCCAGAAACAAAAGTGCGTTAATAGCCAAGACACACATGGCAAATGTGCACCGCCCCACTCCCACTCCGGTGAGAGGAGTCCCGACTCCGACTCCGACTCCGACTCCAACTCCGAGTCGGGACAAGCAGCTAACGCGCCTTTTACAAATTTTTATTGAAAAATATTAAATTCTCATTAAGGCAGGAGAGGATGGAGCAGGTTCCCAATCCAGGCGTCCAGGCAGCATCTCCTCCAGCTCTTTTTCTCTTGATTTTTTTTTAGTTTTTGTTTTTCCTGACTCCACCAAACTCGAACCACGAACCCGAACCGAAGTTGGCGCGCGCGCTCACATGCGCCGATAGACTCGCTTAGATAAAAGATGATTTATGGGTTTTATGGTGTGATGGGAATTTTAATTTCCAGCATTTTTGCTTAACAAAATTAAACATGGCCGGGCTGGGCCAGAGAGTCAGAGAGCCAAAGCGAAGACAGGCGGCTTGCCTGTATTTGGGATCCGGCAATTGTCAAATGAGGCGACCTCCTCCGGACGATTCCATTTTTAATTGAGCCAAGCGCACAGCATGTACCTCAGGAGCAAAATGTGGCAGCCAAAGGCAAGGGGGTTGGGGGAGCAACGTGGCAGCAACGTTTCTTGCAAGCAGCGACGGCAACTGTCCATTATGCTCACTCACCTGTAAAATAAATGGCAAAACTGCCAAACACTTTGGCCAACTGACAACTGCTCCGGCTGGCCCCGGCATCATCGTTCCAATTTAATGCCGACTCCGGCTCCGTCTCCAGAGGGGCTTCCAGAAGACAGAGGGGGGCACCCACTGCTGTGATCCGAGGTCTTGCGGCCCGTTCGTTTACCGTTAGGTGTCAAAGATTTCATGCCCCATGTCGCAAACTAACGACACACAATCGATCACAAATCAAACGGACAGAAGCGGCAGCCCGCAGTTGCCGCCGTTGCCGCCGTTGCGACAGTCATCCAAATGTGTCTCAAAAATCAGGCCGCGGCCAATACAAAGCCGTTTCATAAATTGCACATGACCTGGCGACCAGCAGCTCCAAAAGTTCCATAAAACCCAAGCTCTACTCCATTCTGCTCCATCTCCACATATCCACATATCCAGCTCCTCTTGCAACTTCAGCAGCCAAAAGGCAGCAGAAAGGCATAACAATAAATTAAAAATGGATGTCGATGGCCATGTGCACACGCAAAACAAATTTGTTTATATTTAAATGTAAGATTTATTAAATAATATATTACGATTTCATTTAGCTTGAAGAACTGAGTACTTAGCAGCGAAATAGATTTCAAATTGCAACTAATTGAAAAACAAATATTACAAGTAAGTAATGATACCTCATTATAACCAAGTAAACAAGTAATATATTTCCGAAATTATTCTTACCATTCCAATATAAATATTCATTATATTTAAAATATTAAATATTCCATATACAATATATATTTTATACAAATTTATAAACCTATTCTTAAGCTTTATGTAACTATAACTTTTTTTTTCTCTGGGTGTTTGAAGTCAGATCGAAAGATTCAAGCTGCAAACTGAAAACCAACAGCTTTCGAGACTCCTTCAATTGCTGGCCGGTCGATTTGGTTATTGGAGCGCTTTTTTGTCTGATGGACAGCTGCCGACAGCCGGAGCCACACATAGTTACCTCTCCCAAAGTAAAACCATCCGCTTAATCCTCCTCCTCATCCTCCTCCTCCAACTCCACCGATCACCTGGAGCCTCTCATTGATGGACAGCATTTACTGGCTGCATCGCAAGGCGACTTTATTGGTTTTTAATGAGCAGCGCGCTGTGATTTCATAGCTTATCTAAATGTATTCAGTTGATATTTGTCCACTGGGTGGCTTTGGGGTATGTGCGATATAATGAAATCACCAATCATGAGTCGTAAACTATTGGCAACGTTTATGGCACAAAATCTTTAAGATAGCCACGATTTTCAATTACCAATTTAATGCGGGAATATGGTAATATAAAGCTGAATTTAATGGAGTTTTAAATAGTTGAATTGCATAAAGAATATGAATTATTAGAGTTTTATAAACCTATTAGTACTATTATGTAAATAAATCTGTATATATTCCCATCTCTACTTACCTTCATTTAATTTTTTTAATGAAACTTTTTCCCTGGGTTCCCATGTAATTCCCCAAATTTGTATATTTTCGATTAGCTTTTACCCTTCGGTATTGACCAACTCTGGCTGCAGGGCATTTATAGCGTCGATCAGTGTTAATTAAGGCACCTTCTCACTTTATTTACTTTTACTCATTTGCATATGCGTTTGGGTCATTAAACCTGACCTCCCCAGTCCGCCAGGCAGCCACTGGCATCCAATCCACCATCCTCCCCACACTATTGACCTGACCCAAGGCATATTAATTAACCCAAAAAACCGGTCTGTTATATTTGTCTAACCTTTATGCTAAACGCGGTGACGGCAATAGACGGCAGTAGTCGCTACTGTCGAGCGTTGGCTCGTATTCGGTTATTAATTTACCAATAAATTGCCATGGCGTATACGTAATATTTCACAATTGTGCCTTAATGACCGAGAGCGTTATTCATGCACTGATTTCCGCTGCAGGTGTCATCCAATCGAATCCACACACAGTCGCCAGTTAGCCATTCGCAACCAGTTATGCGTATTAGCCAGGTTCCCGGGCATCCATGATCCAGCCCCGCCCGCCAAGCTCCACAACCACCCAGCTCCGGCTTTTCGCATTGAAATTACAAATGACGAGAAATTTGTCATCTTTATTATTGCAAACAACGTGCAGTTGCCAGGTTGCCAGGTTGCAAAACGACAAACGACGACAATGCTCCCCTGGACAATTGTGAGTGCGTGCCTCTTGTGTGTGCCTTGTGCGCCTTGTGCCTTGCCACAAAAGTCGTCGGGCAAACCCGCTGACAACTTGCCACACATTTCCGAGTAGGCAGGCAGGCGGCGGCGGTGGCGGTGGCGAATGGGGACTTTATCCAGACCCAGGGGCAGTTGTGGGTTAACCGCAGCAGCAGCCCCCATTGTGCGCCAATTGATTTTTCATTCAAATGAAAATGGCCAGGCGGCTTTTGGCCAGGGAACGCGTAATGAGCGAGGCCAAGGCTTCAACGATTATGGTACAAAAAAGTATTCGCTTTTCTTTTATTTCTCAAAAATAATACAATTTGTTTTGCTTTTGTGTCTCTGTGTGTGTGTGCTAAAATCTATGATGACAGTTAGTCTGAGGCAAATTGCCAATGGGGTCGGGCAGGGCATACAGTGCGTTACATAGCTGTAAGTGAGTTTACTGAGCTCATAGAAGAAATATTAAGGCATTAAGGCACGATATTTGTATTCTTTAAATATATGTATATTTTGTTTGATTACTTGTAAGATTGCCTTTCTCTTTAGGTTTAGGTTTATTCAGAATGATTTTATAGGCCAGCTTTTTTACACCTTCCCCTGCTTAACTCCTCTTAACCAAACTGTCACATCATATGCGTATAGTACAAAATGTATAAAATAGCCTATAGATGAGAGAATTTCTATATATAAATACATGGATATATATATATAAATATTGCTTTGCTTGGCTCTTCCAGTTTTTTATGTTTTTGCCTCTTTCATGTTGTGTTCCTCTTTTTTGTATACAATTTTCTACTTAACAACCAATAAAATTTCATCTAAAATTAGTTAAATTTGCCACTTAACCAACTGGGCTGTAAAAGTATTCCTCTAGATCTATGTACACGCAAGTTTGCTAGCACCAATCCAAAACTATCTGTTAGTATAATGTATAATTAACTATGTAGATATTTCTAAAAGTAGTAGGCTTAAAAATCCACTTTTGTTAACTTGGCTTCTGAAGGCAATTGTCTCTCTGGGCTTGCAAGGTGAAAAATTTTACAAATCTTTCGCGGCCCAGAACTAAGGCTATAACTACAACTATAAGTTGGGCTTTGAGCCCGCTTACCATTAGAAATTGAGCTACTTAAGCGATATGGTATATATCTGGTCGCATTAAATATGATCGATGGAGAAGTGCATATAAATAGAGTCGAGAGTCGTAAGTCGAGCTCCTCGGATGAGTATTGATATCCGGCCAGGGTATCCCCGGATATACATATGTGTGTGGAGTAGTATGTATGGCCAGGTTGGCAGTTCCAGTTAGAGATTCCCGGATCCGATCCTCAGTGGCGGCGCATGTGCAGCGACAGGTGGTCCGAGCGGCTGAAGCTGCGCGTGCACAGCTGGCAGCGGAACGGCTTCACGCCCGTGTGCTTCCGGTAGTGGCGGGTCAGCTCGTCGGAGCGGGCGAACCTCCAAATGCAGCCCTCCCACGTGCACACGTACGGCTTCTCGCCTGTGGATAAATACCAGACATGTTAGATACAAGTGGTGAGAGGCGCTTCAGGGTTCGCTTAACAAGGCATTCAAATAATAAACACAAAGTATTCTTAATTAAAAAGTCCCCCACTTGATGCTCACCTGTGTGCGTTCGCTTGTGCGCCTTGAGGTGCGAACTCTTCGTGTACACCTTGTCGCAGCCTTCGGTGTCACATTTGTGGACCTTGCGGTTCTTGGAGAGATCATTGTAGCCGCCATTGGCCGCCGAATCGGAGCAGGAGGAGGAGCGCCCAAAGGCGGAGGCACCTCCGCCAAAGTTAATCCCACTGAAGCTGCTGCTATCCTTGCGCGTGGCACCCAGGGCCATGCCACCGAAGGCGGGATTGAGTGCGGCATGGGGAGAGCCCGATCCCGCGTAGCTCTTCCAACTGGCCGAAGAGGAGGAGGAGGAGGCAACGCCGGTCAGGGACTTGGATGATGAACCACCACCAGTTGGGGAAGTTTTCCGCGAAGTCTGCGTATCCCCGAACTTGTAGGGATTCTTGAACAGGCTCAGCAGCGAGAACTTGCGATCGTAGTCCTGCATGGTGCTGGCCCTGCACCTGCTCCGGATCCTGCACCAGCTCCCGCTCCAGATCCTGCACTGCTGCTGCCATTGTTATAGCTGCAGCTGTTATTGTTATCCTCCTGCTTGCCACTGATCCTTCGGTATGTGAAGAAGAATGGCGAGGCCGCAAAGAACGGCGAGAATGGCAACTTGGACACGCCGGAGGCATAAAGCTGTTGCTGCTGCTGCTGCTGTTGCTGCTGGGTGGCTTGCTGATGATGGGGCAACCTGGCAAAGGCCCCCAAAGATGCGGCACTTGCGGAGGAGCCCGCTCCAAAGCCCGAGGATGATCCACTTTGCTTGCCATTACTATAGCCATGATTATGTCCAAGCGCCTTGGTTGCTGGCGAGGATTTGCAGCTGCCACTGCCACTGCCACTACTGCTGCTGCCGTGCGAGGTGCTTGCTGCAAGATTAAAAAAATCGGAAAACCCATTTCAGATTTGGTTAACAAAATGCACAAAATACTCGGACACAAAATGGCCAAAATGGCGGGGCCCCGACTTTATGGTCGGCAATGCCTAATGAGACTCGTAAATGAACCGCTAACTGATCGAAGCTACCAACCAGAAACAAGGCAATCAGGCTAAGTAAATAGACGAACGATGGAATACTCTACCTGTGATTGATTTTTCTTTAGGGAATATTGATAGGAATTCGTGAAAATAAACTGCAAACACAGTCTTTAAAGACTTTTCCTATTAATTAAAGATCTTTGAGCTTATTGACATGAAAACTATATTCCATATTGAGGATTAGGAAAAAAACAATTTAATAACAAATTAATAACACAATACAACTTTAAAAGATATATACTTTTAAATGCCTTAAAATAAATACCATGTAAAGCCTAAGAGATGTGTATCTTAAATACCTAAAATGATGATTAAATCCTTTTGGCAGGGTATTGAAAATAAAGACCAAGGAGAGTATAAGGGGGCGGTGGAAAGATATTGGCTTGTCGGTTGTCTTTACACAATTTCCTAATTTCATTCGGCCGCCTCATTGCATCAAAACGTTTGCATGTCGCGTATTTTATGACCGTCGGACGGCCCAGACCAGCGGACAGAGGAGAGCCTTGGCTGTTGATGTCGATGTGGATGTGGACTTGGATTTGGATGCCGAGCTAAGAGTCAGAGTCAGAGTGAGATTCAGATTCAGACGGACAGCGAATCCGTGCAGTCGTGATCCATTTAACCTGTACTCGGTGCTCCAGACGACGACTGCCACTTTCGGCTGCCAGTTGCAGTTGCAGTTGCAGTTTCGGCTGGGACAAGTGTGTCGATTTTGGCGCCCGCGACATCAACATCAATTGCCAGCAAAAACTGCAGCAGCAACAGCTGCTCCTACTGCCACCACTCTTAACCCCCTACTGCCCCTCGAGGTTCCCTCAGATTGAAGGGTGCTCCGCTGTGCAAACAAAAAGCGATGTGAAGTTTGCTCAAGTTTGCCACTCCACTTGTGTTGGGTCAAGAATCTGTTTACTTTTCTTCTTAAATGGAATAAGAGGCGACAGTAGCTGGTTGCATTTTGTTTTACTTTTTCAGGGTATTATTATGTTAGTTAATCGTTAAAAAAGTAGTGAAGATGTCATTTTCGACCCCATATATCTTTATCAACATCAACAGCCAAATCGATCTAGCCATGTTTGGAAGAAAAATAAATTTTCCGAAATTTAAAAATTATATAAGGGGTTGCATCGTTAAAATTTTCAAAAATTGATTAATTTGAAATTTCTAAAAAGTTTAATTGAGTTTGCTGATGTGTTGGCCACATAAACTAGCACAGCAAAGGTTTCCGAATTGAAATTAATGAATTTTTGGCTAACTTATGATTGTTTTCTTTTTGCAATTAATGACCAAATTGCTTACTTTGAGAGAATACAAATTTGGTCTTCGCAAAGTTAACTATTCTTATAGTTTTATATTTAAATGAATTGACTGAAGAAATTAATATGGTAAAGATAAAACTTTACTCCATTACTACACCTTTGGAAATTGGCAAAAGAAATAAAACATTATAAAGATAAACAATTTATTCTAATTAAAAGATAACGGATTGTATTACAATTTTTAATTGCACATGCTGTTGTCGAACATTAATCAAGTGGCGCCACCAATTTCTTGAGACCAAGTGTGATTATATTTAATTAACTTTTGATGGAAATAAGAATATTGATTCCCTTTTCATATAATTCAATGTCTAAGTATATTGAAGGGAAAGAAGAATGGGAAAAATAATGAGGTTAAGTTAGTTAAGTTAAACTTGAAAAAAATGAATAAATTATTATTCAAAAGAAAAGGATATTACAAAGAGGAAGTTTAATATTTAAGTTTGTGGCAAACAATTTAAAAATAATAATAAATGAATATAAATATTATTTATAAATATATTTTAAATTTTAAAGCTCTTATTTAAGTAATCTTTGATACAAGTTAACAAAGTCATCTTTTATATATTTTATTATTTAAAACAAGGCTTACTTTTATATTCCTTTTAAGTAAAAGTGCACCCAAGTTAGACAAATGAAACCCTGTATTCTAATTCGAAAGATATTTATCTTTTATTCTCTTTGCCCCCAGGCTTTTCTTCTTTTTTTTATTTTGTTACTTTTGCCTGCTTAGCACATTCAATTTTCACTCTTCTTGGCCGGGCCAACAACATCTCGTTTGTCAGGGCCTCCAAAACAATGGCCAAAAGGGGCGAAAGGAGTGCAGTGAACAAGTGACCCGGGCTTAAGTGCTTTGTCAAGCCTGCAAACTCCACATGACCGAGGGCCACATGGCGGCCAGTCCGCCACACCATCCAAGCCTGGTCCGAACTGACCGACCAAGCTGCGGAGAATGGGGTCCACTGGTCCGCTGGTTTCTTAGCCTCAAGTGCCTCAAGTGCGTTTTGCGACTGCGACTGTCTGCACACATGTGAGTTTTGGGGGCCCTGGCCTGATGCATTTGTAATTTCCATGCCAGCGAGCGTTTTGTTTCACCAGCACCGGGTTATATAGTGCCCAAGGTAGCAGACGGACGGTTTACAGGTTAACTTGACTAACTAAAATCAGTAAAGTTCAGATAAAGGTAAGGTATTAAATATATTAAGGACATAAGTGCAGGGGAATCAAAGGAAGCCTGCTTTAACTAGTCCTGGTGATCCAAGACCTTGATATAGAGAAAGTGATCCATAGATAACTACATAATATTTACGTTCTTTTAAACAAATTCCAGTAAATCCCTTAAATTTTATTGTCTAACTTAGACTAAAAAAGGGTTATAATAAAGGGTTATTATTACACAACTTCCATATGAATTAAGGAAAAGCTAAAGAAGGGAGTTTACTCTTTAGAGTTACACCTGTACTTTTCGAGGGAGTCGGTCCAAGTGTGTGCCCCGGGTTTTGGGGTCCGTAGTCCGTTAGCCCAGGCAGGCGCGTTATTAAAATTGATGGCATTTAATTGAACTGGCCATCAACGTCAGCCCACAGTGCTGTTTTCTGTTGCTCGAACTCCTAGTCGCAGTCATAGTCGCAGTCTTAGTCTAAGTCTTAGTCTCTGACTGTTTCTGTTTCTGTTTGTGCTGCTGCTGCTGCTGGCTTTTCCGCTCTTTTGGCCCATTTGCGATGAATGCCGGTAAGGGAAGTAAGTGCCAGTACAGAGTACAAAAGAGGGAAGGAGGCTGGATGCTACAGTGGCATATGCTAATGCGCATTATGTGCCAACTCTCCGGCTGTCATATATTTCTCGTCTCCCAAATGGCCATTCTCCTGTCCAGCCAGGAATATAGAGGGGTATATGTGTGTGTGTATAATCACCGCTTTTACCGAAATGCACATGCTGACTTCATATTTCTGCCAATTTGGCTTTGGCAACAGGCAAACAGGCAACAGGCTACAGGCTACACCAACCAGCTAGCACCGGGGCGACCCAGAGATTTGAAATCACACTTGTGCCTATTGCCAAAGTGGTGCAATAAAAAAAGTGAATGTTGCCCCCAAGTGGCACCCGGCAGATCCGATCCGATCCGCAGCGATGCTATCCGAGGCGATCCGCTGTGCGATGCTATATGCTATATAGACAGGCTCCTCCATCTCGTGCTCCTTTGGCGCGTCTTCAAATGGTCGTCGTAGTCGTCGTCGTCGTCGCTGTGGCCATAAACTGCTCATTTGACTTTGCTAGATTTACGTTGAGCAGTTCGCCAGTAACCCCCAGTATTCCCTCTCCAAAATGGAGGGTCTTCCCCTATGGTATTCCCCCTCTCTCAGAGTGTGCGTAGTCGAACGTGCCGCCCCAGTCAGCGATAATTATGATGAGGCCAGATCGTCTCCAGACCAGGCCAAAGAAAAGTAGTCATCGCCAGAGATATAGGGAACAGTGGTTCAACGTTCATTGTAAATATAATTATTTAAATTGTTACCTTTTTAAGGAAACTATAGCTATTTTAAGGGAGTTTGTGTAGCAAAAGATATCTTAATTATCTTAAAGTATTTCAAAGTTGCTAAAGGTTAAGTCCTTAGTATGGGTATGAGTTTCAATAAAACCTCAATAGAAAATATATTAATAATATTGAAGAACTTATAATAAATATATATAAATATTCTGAAATTTCGTTGAAGCTTTTATCTATTAATAAATGTTTAAATAAAACAAAATCTATTTACTTTAGTTATTTTAAAGATACTATAAACAGGTAAGTAATAGTGCAGAAGTCCTTTTTTGAGCCTCCAAATAGAGCTCCAGCTGTGTAAAACATTTCATACATCTAAATAATATTTATATTACTTACTAAGTAACACATATTCACCATTCTCATCCCACTGTTCACATGCACTGTGTGCAATGCGCAATGCGGATCTCGCACCAAATGCGACTGCAAAACTTGCAACTTTAGAAATGAGAAGCAGACGCGGCAGCAGCAATCGGAGGATGGGGAGTGAAAAAAACCCCAGCGAACAATAAATTACAAAAACAGTTGATAGGGTTTAATGTGCACTTGGTGTGCGATTGGTTATAATTGACAGTTCGCTTGGCTGAGTTGGCCCGGCTTGGCTTGGCTCGGTTTGGCTTGGCTTTGCTGAGAGCTCTGCAAGTCCGATTCCGATGTCGAACTCGAACCCGGGCCCAACTTGGCGACGTGCTTGGCCAAGCACCACCAGAAATCAGCACCACCGCCAAGAGCCACCACATACTGGCAACCGGCGTGTGTTACGTTTCTGGCCACTTAATTGCCAGGCGCGTTTACGTTGATTTACTAGTTGATTTTTATATGAAACTGTCGTATTTAACTTATAATTATGAAACAACATGGCTGCGTATCCGTGTCCGTGTCTAGCGATTTTCACACATGAACCGTTCGCTTTCTGGGCCACATCATTTGACCAACTTTGACTCCGGATTGGAGGAATACGTTTTGGGCC